GTGGGGTAGTGTAGAAATATTTTAATGTACATCTTACAAGGATCGAACATTACCAATCAACAATAATTGTGATACTCAATGCTTTTCGTCTTTTTTTCTTTCTTGTCTTCCTTTTCCTTCTTCTTTCTTCGTTTCTTTCTTTCTTTCTTTCCTTTCTTTCTCTTTCTTTTTTTGTTTTTTTTTTTTGAAATGAGTCTCCACCGCTATCACCCAGGCTGGAGTGCAGTAGATGGTGATCTCGGTCACTGCAACTTCCCCTCCTGGTTCAAGCAATTGCTCCATAACTCACCCTCGCCTGAGTACGCTGGGATTACAGGCACTTGCCACCATGCCCAGCTAAGTCTTTTTTGTATTTTTAGTAGAGACGATTTTGGTTTCCACCATGTTGCCAGGCTGGGTCTCAACACTCCTGACCTCGTGATCTGCCCATTCGGCGCTCCCACAGTGCTGGGATTACAGGCGATGAGCCACTGCACCTGTCATGGCTTTTGTCTGTTTTGCAAAGAAAAAAAAAAAAAAAAAAAAAGGAAAAAGAAGATTTAGTGGATTCATGCTGTAAACAAAGCCAACATATGTATTTGGCTCTCAGTATTCTTATCATATATTTATAAACTTGTTAAAAATTGTCTTTGCTCTGTTTTTTTCTTTTTCTCATGTCTAGTTTCATTAAGGCGCTAACTTGATTTTCCATCAAACCTTTAGAGCGTAAAGGATGTTAGTTCATTGGGATTCAACGGAAAATTAAAATACTGCCGAATTAACCTCATTGGTTGATGAGCTGGTCTTCAATGTCAAGCCAATACAAATCAGACTTACATTCTGTTTAAAAAAAAAAAAAAGAAAGTCTGACTTCATCGTTCTCGTAATTATAATGAACATGCTATGCATCCTTATATATGACTGTCTCACCTCTGAATTCTAGACTTCAAACGATAGAGAGCTGAGTGATGTGATATGTGCCTTCTCCTAAATGTGCGTGTAGGCACTCTGGCCTCCTGCATTCCCTTCCCAGTATGGACCTCCCCCTTTTTTTTTTGTTTGCGAGAAGCTGAATTCTCGCCTGCTGTCGCGCCCAAGCTTGGAGTGCGGCAGTTGGCCGATCTCGGCTCCCGTAAGCTCAGCCCTCCCAGGTTCATGCCCATTCTCCCTGCCTCGCCTCTCGAGTAGCTGGGACTCAGGGCGCCCGCCACCCATGCGCACCGGCTAATTTTTGTATATTTAGTTA